GCTGCAAATGAGAGTGGTGTATAGTGGAGAATTATATGCAAGGCAACTGTGGCATGTCGAATTCAGTGCGAAGTTGTCTATCATAATCAGCTCTCTGTTGCAACTTATGAGCAATAAACGCGTGTGCATCTGTGGTGAAATATGGATAAGAAATTCTGTAAAAATTTGGATCTGTAGCATGACTTCGCTCAAACTGTGGCTGTATACGGTCGTAGAAGATGGAAAATATTCCAGTCGGACTCTGGAGTGCCAAAGAATACCAGAAAGTCCCGTTACTCCAGCCCTGATGCATGGTTTTAGAGATACTGTCGGACCCACCGCACATCCGTTGTTCCTCTTCTTGTAGGACGGACATGAACTCCAGTCGCTGTGTATTATAAGCATCGTCATTGATTTCATCGACAGCTTGACTGGTAAGCCATTCAGGCGGATGTAACATTTCAATGGGTTTTGCACAGGCCCACTCTAGATCAATTACATACTTGATATTCCAGTCCTTATCGACTAGGATATTGCTTCTGTGAAGGTCATTGAGCATATAAACGAACGGGCCATGGGATAGCTCAGGCCTGAATAAGCGAGGGGCTACGACCCTGAACATTGTTAGAGCAGACATTTGGTCGATGCAATCTTGTCGATCGATGGCTCCGTTGGGCTGGTGTCGAAGGCGGTTGTCGTGCAGTGAGATTGCACTGGCCAGATAAGAATCAGCTGAGGAAAATGTGACTTCTCGAGGCATATTAAGTGGAATGTTGCAGTTTTCCATGTCAGCGACTTCGAGGGTGAATGGTCGGTTGGATAGCTGGATATAGCCGTGGTCGTCTATTATGAACGAACCAATTCGGGGCAGTGGAATACGGGCGATGTCAAGGAGTATCCTTGATAAGCCTCGATAAAGGTTAGATCGAAGCCTGGCGTCACTGCGGCGGTCCTCCCATGTGCGGGAGAGCATGGTACCCTCAGCCTCCTCGATGTAGTCGATCAGTATATATCCGGCTCCTACTGCGTAAGCAAGAGACTGAGTGCCGGTTCTCCCACGGGGGACGTATGTAGAAGGAAGCGGGTAGGCAAGCAACCCCAAAGCAAAACGGCGGATATGTTCTATATATCGACGTATAATTGGTAGGTTCTCGATAGCGGTGAACTATAGAAGGGTACAACAACGATTAGAACCGACAGCGAATAGCAGTATTAGAAATAAGGACATACAGTTTGACCCGTTGACAGTGCAAAGCCATGCAGCTTTGGAATTGGCACAGAGGGACAGTTCTCCTGCAGCCAGGCATATGTCCCGGCCTCACACCGGATCTTCTCGTCCGCATTGCCTCGTCTGAAAAGTTCGCCAACGCGATGGGGGAGAGGGAACCGGATGAGTGCCCGCCTACTACCGGCAACGATGATGGGAATGCAGACATTAAAGCTTCCCCAGTGCCAATCGTTGAAGTCGGAGGGCACGAAACATGCTTCTGGGGAGAGTCGAAGATGGTACGCAGCAGCTTGTTGTATGAGGCTCAAGTTGGTCTGTAGTCGGGTGAAGAAAGTGACGGATTGGGGGTAGAACGACAAGGCGTGGAGGATGTCAGTCTCTTTCTTTGATGCAGAAGAGAATGTGATCTCCCTGCGCATCAGACGGCGCTTCCTCGCCATCTCTCGCCATCTGTTTGTTAGATATCTTGAAAGTCGAGATCAAAAAGAATGAATAGATGGAAAGAAGCTCTAAGGGACGTACCTTGAGCTAGTTATGTAATGAAGATCACGTGATTGTGAGTGATAGACTAAGCTAGAGAATTGAGAGCTCCTGATTAGCTTATTTGGACAGATATACACGTGACGTGGGTATAATGGGTCCACTAGGGGATAACCTTAAAGTAACCTTATATAATCTTGAAGTCGATTTTACTTCTTGTTTACTACCCCTTGGATGCCTTAACGAGGACTTCTCACGACCTATTCCGAGGGAGCAAGATATATCTGGAATCACAATGGCATTCTACTACGCCAATGCCCTACACAAGCATAACTGGCTCGGTGGGGGCGCCGCCGCTTATGTCTATCACGTCAGCCCAACGATTGCAGTGAAGACCATCCGCCTCGACCTGAGCGATCGGGAAAAGGAGTCGTTAGAAGAGCACCAGTTGACCAAGGACATAGCGTTTTACAAGCTACTCAATGAGCGTCAAGACCGTTGCCCACATATAGTTGAATGCTTCCTGATACTCCCCGACCATCTATTTCTATCATTCTGCTCGAGCGGGGCAATAGGAAAGCGATACTATGAGCGTCAAGAGCGAGAAAACGACCACCTCTTCGGTCGACTGCTACGGGTGAAGGGATAGGAAGACCCGGCCCTGGTGGCCCGATGGGTGCAACAGCTTACCTCTGCTCTGGAGTACGTGGAAAAGATGGGCTACTGTCACAACGACCTGAGGCCAGGCAACTGTCTTCTGGATGCAAGGCTGAATTTGAAACTGACTGACTTTGGCTGTGCGACCACCATCGGCCAGTACCTGGAGTATACCGGAGCGCCGTGGGCGGCGAGGTTATCCGGTGGTCCGCTGCAGGGCACTTTTGGGCTCTGCTCTGCTAGGACGGAGCAGTTTGCTCTTGGGTCGATGGTGTATTTCCTGGTGTATGGTCACGAGCCGCATGAGGAGAAGAACCTTGAAAAACCAGAGCTTATTCGGCGATTCGATAAGATGGAACTGCCTGAGCTGGACAGTCATGAGGTCTTTGACGGGCTGATATGGGGGTGTTGGTATAATGTGTATCCTACCATGGCATTGGCGGCGTATGACTTTAAGCGAAAGACCAAGGACATTGTGTCAGTCGTAGGGCGTAAGGAGGACGAACCAGAAGCCATGACTATCAATGACCGGGCGAAGGAGACGAGAATTTGCGAGGGTCTGGTTCGCAAGGGGATACTGGGAGCAGAACTGGCGTTTCGCTTCCAGCCGTTGTGGTGGAGGTATCTACATGCCACGAGGAGCCGTTTCATCTCGCAGTGGCACTTCCTGATGGGCCTGCTGGGGAATATCCGGCGCTGGCTACCACTCTGACTGCTGAGACCTTGTAATTGTAATGTTTACCCCCTCTCCCTGTTCCAGAGTTGTTCATTTTTGTCCTTGATTGTTCTTTTGTTGAAACAAGCTAAAAGAGCCGCATATGACACGTGAGTGGTATCACGTGCAGTGGAAGGTCAACCTTTGGATCGCGAGAGGCGAAAAAAGGAGAAAAGGAAACAAACTGGAGATACGGAGGGGAGATAGAGAGATAGAGAAGAAAGGATAGTTGGTTGGTCGTCGGCCAGTCTAGTCCCAGGCTTGGATGGCGATGGCGACGACGATGGCAAAAACCGAAAAAAGAGCGTGTGGTCTTATTCCTTTTTCCCAGCCTGCACGCAAGCAAGCAAGCAAGCAAGCAAAAGACCCGACCCGAAGACGCTAACTAGTCAGCTAACAGATCATCTAATAGGTCATCTCGCAGGCCATCGAACCAGGCGACGAGGAAGGGAGCCAAAAAGAAAATCGTGGTGGCGACAAGAAGAAAAAGGCCCGTTACACTAAACAAGGCCGAACCAGAAAAGCGAATTATTGGGTTGAACTATACTTGTTGAGAAGAAGAAAAGGTATTATTGTATGTGATGCCACGACCTGCCATGCCATGCGATGCCATGCCATGCGACGCGATGGCCGATGCTAGAGACTGTTATTATTAGCAGCAATAGACTTCGATTTGCACGCCTTTTGACATCCCTTTTGAGGGGGAAGGAGTGTCGTTAGAACTAAGTGTGAGTGAGATGTTGGGGGGATGAGCGACGCGACGAGGACAAGGCCGGGAGGGTTGGGATGGAGCTGATGGACCCGGAGACTTGCTGCTGGAACCTGGAGACGGAGCTGGATGGGCGATGGAGACAGTCTGGGGGAGCGAGGAAGACGGAAGTTTTGTGGGGGATGCGAGATCGCATCTCAGCTCCATCTCAGCTCCATCGACAAGGACATGGACAATCTTGCACCCAAAATCAGCGACTCCAGGGTGTTCTATGCTTCCATCTCGTCGGCCTTCTTATATGTATCTGCTTCGACTTCTTCCTCTCTACGACACAACACTACTTCTGCCTCTCCGACCTTCTGCTGCCTCCCTGCGCATCCCCCGCGCCCGTCTCTCTCCTTCAGCAAAACTCCACCGGATACGAAGGCCTTACCTAATAGTGTGACATGTGACTTTCCGACGTATCAAAAGTGTTATTAAATAAATTACGCCGTGACTGTGATATTGCATTATGACGGCCATTAAGAGTCTTACTTGGAAGACGGCTAGCAGCTCCACCTGGTGATAGCAACAAGGTTCGATGGAAGAAGCGAAGAAGGCGAAGAGAAGACGACAGTCGACTAGTGAGCGAGCCTCGCTACCCAGGCTATGCATCGAAGGGACAGCAGGAGGAGCGAACAGTTACGTAAAAGGCCTTCTAGAAGCAAGCCAGACAGCAAGCCAAGATCGGAGAGAACGAACTTACGGGAGAAAATAGCACCGCCTGTTAAGCATAATACAGGGCATGGTTGGCGAGGTTGAGTCGAGATGGGGGTGGTAAGGGTAAGGGTTGAGAGTAAGGGTAAGGGGCCCGGGGGATCCATGTTACAGGATGATAAGACTAGCAGAGGTAACCCCAGACTGACCACAGAAGCCAACGGGCCAAACCAGACAAACCAGACAGACAGACAGACAGACAAACACACGCAAAAGAGGCACTCCCACTGGTGATGGCAACGGGTATCTCCGTTGATACAGTGGGATAGTGGGATTATGCTTCTACTTAGCCACATCACTAGCCTGAAGAGCGTCAGCTAGCAGATAACTAGCCGGAGGTTTAGCTCTCGCCAGCAAGCACAGTAGCTCGATAGGCTAAAGGCTATCCGGCCTATTGTCGCCCAAGCAGCCAGCGGGGACACGAAGCAAAGGGGGGAAACAAATCGCTCATTTTGAACCCCGGACGAGCTAGCTAACTAGCGGGCGAGTTCGTGAAAGCTGCGGATTTCCAGAATATTCCCTGTTCGGGCAACTTGCGCCGGCCATGGAGGATGCAAGTGATAGGACGACGGCCGAGGATGGCCGGGGTGCGGCGTCACGACTGAGCATGTCAAGAGGGCCAGCGTAGAGGGTTACAGGCACTTTGACCCTTCCAGAAGGCGGTTTGATGCATGGATGCATGGATGGATGGATAGATGGATGCGCGGGAAGGCGTGGAGAGGAGAATCCCAAGCATGGCGAGGCGCATCAACCTCGAGCCTCTACTTACTTACATACTTACAATACAGGACTCAGCATCCGTACTTTCAATGCTAGGCTGCTTGTTAGTTACCCGCTGATATCCATCTTCCCCGGCCAGCAAGCCCCAAGGACAAGGGGCGTCGGTAGGAGAAATGAACCTGGATATCCGCCTGGTCGGTTGGCTGTCTTGCTTTTTGGCCTTCCTCCCTAGCTGGAACTTTGAGGACGGGAGATTATGTGCATCCCCTGGCGGTCGTTTTCTTCTTTGGTTCAGGCGTGACAGAGTAAGGACTTGCTTCGAGCGACGGTTAGAGGACGGCGGGTATTCCAAGTGGTGGAGCAGCCCTGCCAGGGCGGAAGAGGCTCGCTTGACGACACCCTCTTTTTCTCGCTTCGACTGGCGGCGGAGGAGGTGGACTGACTGACTGACTGACGGGCGGTTGGTTGGTTGGTTGGACAAGTCGCGGGATGCCTGCTCGATGCTTGTCTGCTTGGTCTGTCTGTCTGCCTGTCCTGGGGTGTCTGGATGGGTGGAAAAAGGGCCCATCTCCATCCACCTACATATATATACATGACCTTGGCGCATCTTGGGTCGGTCCTTGGTCCTTGGGTCTTTGTCCTTGGGCTTCTTTCTGGCACGAAGCTGGTCAAGGTCAAGCTGCTGCCGGAGAGAATGCGGCGTAGCTGTTAGTCGGTGCAACCCGACCTCGATGCTACTGTCATCTCAACCCTATCACCACTAACTAGCTACCACCACTGGCCGCCGCCGACAGATCTTCGCCGTCGAACGCCCGCCCTGGTTGAACAAAGCTCGCCCTTCGATGGCTTTGCGGTGGCGTCAGCTTATTTTGTTCCCTCTCTTTTTCTTGCTTGTCCTGATTGCGCTGCCCATCCTTCATCTTGCTTCGTATATACGCCCGTCAGCTGTCTTCCGCCGCCGCTGGTTGGCCGGCTGCCCCCCTCTGGCCCTCCAGCAGGCGAAAAAGCAACGAAACCCCCCCCCCCCCCGGGCGAGTTTCCAGTACAGAGTTTGATGTATCTGTACGCTTGTTGCACTTGACTTTTGGTTCCCCACAAAGATGCCTGCAGTTTAAAATTGGATGGAAGCGTAACCACCCTCCCCTAGTCGGCTTGACTCTGGATCCCTGGTTCGTCGAACGCCGGTTGGTTGGTAGAGCCAGAAACAGATCCAGCCCAGAAGACGAAGAAACAGCAGCAGAAGAAGCAAAGAAGGGTCAAGTCCGGGGGTGGACCATACTACTAAGTAGGCATGGCTCGAGAGGCAGGCCATGAAGCAAGGAAGAAGCAAAGAGGAGGCCGATGTACAGTACTTTGACCTGGCACGCCGCCGCTCGAAGGCTGGTGATATAAATAAATATACATCCAGGAGGATATATATAAACACATATCAGTCTCACCTCGACGGTTGACTTTCTTTTCTCCTTCTTTTCTCTTCTTCTCTTCTTCTCTTCCCCTTGCGACAGGTCGTGTACTTCTTCTTCTTCTTCCTCCTCTTCTTCCCTTCTCCCTCGTCCCTTGTCTCTCCCTTTCTTCGTCCCTTTCTCTTGCGTCTCGGGGATATCTCGCGATACCACCCTCCCCCGTCCGTCTCCTCCCCTCCCGTCCCGTCGCAATCCAATCCATAGAGAAAGAAAGACCATGGACGAGAAGACAGATATGGCTCCGGCCTATGACAACGGCCCGCACAAGGCCGTCGACGTCAAGAACGCTGCCTACGGAGAGGCCGCTGACCTCTACGGCGATGCTGAGGCCGCCGAGCGATACGGCTATGTCGCCAGAGGGTATGCCATGACTTGAGTCCTTGCAAAGGAGAACCAATGCTAACTGACGGCGACAGGCTGAAATCCCGACACATCCAGTTCATCGCTCTCGGTGGAACTATCGGTACTGGTCTCTTCCTGGGTATCGGACGAGCGCTCACCCAGGGTGGCCCGCTCTCGCTGTTGATCGGCTACACCTTTGTCGGTCTCGCGATCTTCGCCATGGTAAGCCTGACTCGTTCAATTCGTCTGTAGAATGGCAGATTCTAAACGGTTTGTAGATGATGTCTCTCGGCGAGATGGCTACCTGGCTGCCGCTGCCCGGTGCCATCCCCCAGTTCTGCGCCAGATACGTTGACGCCTCTGTCGGTTTCGCCGTCGGATGGAATGTAAGTCTCTCTCCTGCCTCTCTCATTACTCTCAATGGTAAATAATGGAGTCGCTAATGGAGAGCAGCTGTGGTATCAATGCTCCATCACACTCTGTGTCGAGATCTCAGCCGCCGCTGTCATCATCCAGTACTGGCCCGGCGCGCAGGACGTCAACGTCGCTGCATGGATCGGCCTGGTCATCGCCATCATCGTCTTCCTCAACGTCTGGGCCGTCTCGGTCTACGGCGAGGCTGAGTTCATCTTCGCCAGTATCAAGATCATTACCATCGTCGGCCTGCTGCTGCTCGCCCTCATCATCGACCTCGGCGGCAGCCCTACCGGTGACCGCATCGGCTTCAGGTACTGGAAGAACCCCGGAGCCATGAACCAGTACTTCGGCACGGGCGACAAGGGACGCTTCCTGGGCTTCTTCTCGACGCTCGTCAACGCTGCCTTTTCGTTCGGTGGTGTCGAGGCCGTCGCCTGCGCTGCCGGTGAGGCAGAGAACCCGCGCAAGAATATCCCCAAGGCCGTCAAGCGAGTCTTCTGGCGTATCCTCTTCTTCTACGTCCTCGGTGCGCTCTTCCTGGGCATGCTGGTGCCGTACAACGACAAGAACCTGCTCACGGCGCAGAAGAACAACGAGCCCGGTGCGGCTGCCTCCCCCTGGGTCATTGCCATCCGCCGTGCCTCCATCCCCGTCCTGCCATCCATCATCAACGCCGTCATCCTCACCTCGGCCACTTCGTCTGGAAACGCCTTCTTGTATACCGGCAGCAGATATCTCTATGGTCTCGCCCAGAACCGCCAGGCGCCTCGCTTCCTCCTCCACTGCACCAAGCAGTAAGTCTCATATCTCTTCCTCGTGCGTGTTCTGTATTCAACTGACAGTACCTCCAGGGGCGTGCCAATCTATGCCGTCGGCGTCACTGCGTCCATCTCCCTCCTGACCTTCATGGCTGCCACCACCGGCTCGGCCCAGGTCTTCATCTGGTTCCAGAACCTGACCACCGTCGCCTCGCTCTTCAACTGGGTCAGCGTGCTGGTCGCCTACATCCGCTTCCACGCCGCGCTCAAGGCCCAGGGCGTCGAACGCAACACCCTCCTCCTCAAGTCCCCCTTCCAGCCCTACCTCGCATGGGTCGCCCTCATCTTCTTCTCGATCATCATCTTCTTCAACGGCTTCGACACCTTCAAGCCCTTCCGCTTCCAGTCCTTCTTCACCGCCTACATCGGCATCGCCCTCTACTTCGCCCTCCTCATCTTCTGGAAGGTCTTCAAGCGCACCCGCTGGATCCCTTCCGCCGAAGCCGACATCTTCACCGGAAAGGCCGCCATGGACGCCGTCGAGTGGCCAGAGCAGATCCCCCGAAACATCTTCGAGAAGATATGGTTCTGGATTGCATAGTCTCTTCTCCTTTCTCTCTTTCTTCTTCTTCTTTTTTTTTTTCTTCAGACGGACCCTAGATTGTGTCCTTTGCGTCTTTGTATTTGATACCTCTTCCCTTCCATCCCCGCTTCTCATGCATCTGATCTGATCCCTGTGAAGCTTCGAGTTAGCATGCTTCAATATACCCCCTTCTCACTCCTACCTATCTTCCTACCTACCCTCACGATATACATCATGTACACTCACGCAAGCAATCATAAGAATATCCGACACGCATAATGAAGTCAAAACATGAACAGTCCACTCTTCGTCCCACGCAGTAGAATCCGTCAAGCGAAAGGAGAAAAAAAAAGGAAACGTAAAAGCAAGCGAGCAAACATAGGAAAAGCCCGCAGTCTTATATATACACAATTACTCCCGGGCGAGAAATCTCGCATCCAACGCCTTTATGAGTAATTCTACGCACAAAAAAAAAGGCAGCCTGTCCTGCTTGCTCCGCCGTGGAACCATCGCACGCCCTTCATGCCTTGCTATCCGGCGGCCTCTCGCCTTTCTCACTTCGTACTCCGTATCGTCTCCATCGAAGGCCACCGAAAAGTCGACCACTTGATCCGCTTCGTCTCCACCCGCGGCCAATAGCATGCCCGGCATCCCAAACCTCAGCCGAAACAGCATTATAAATACATTTAACTAACTAATCGCGCGCGCCGTAGTGCTTAACTCCGTTGGATGCTCCTGTCTGGCTTCCATTATTCATCCGTCTATGCGAGGCTCACTCAACCTATCTCCGGCCGACACTGTTCGTCCTCCAGCTGTTTAGCTACGGGTGGAGCGATAACTACACCAGGAGATTCTGAATAACATAGCTAACATAAACACCAGTAGGTAGCTAATGGATACCCATTGAAGAGAGGAGAAGGCCTCAGGAGATACACAGAAAGCAGCAGAAGACCAACTTTTGACCCTTCATCTGCCGTCTTCACTCGGCAAAGATAACAAGAGACAGCCTCTTCGTTTCATCCTCCAGCTCTCTCATCGTCGCAAATTCCACATTCCAGCCCGAGTCGATGATCCGGTCCAGGGAGCAGCCATCTTATATACTAGCCGGTAACTCCGCTGGGGTAACAGCCGGTATGGTACTAACCTTTGGCAGCTGCTTGAACACATTCATTTCAAGATAGTTGGACTTACTTCATGTTGCTGGTTGAAGAAGGCTATTATGTTGTCTATAAAATAAAGCTAGTAATGCACGAAACATCTGATAATTCAAATGGCATTGGATAAAAGCTACTTTGTTGATTTATTGATTTAACTAAATACATTTATCTATATACTTCATAAAATGATGTAATAACATGAGACTGCCAATGCAAGATTTGTTGTATGTCCTTGATGATGGTAGTCGGACCCGACGCATTATGGGCGTGTGACCCTGGGTGTAAAAAGTGGAGTAACCCTGACATAATTTATCATCTCTTGCAAAACCAATTTCATATCGGGTCCGCTGTATTTCACACCCACCACTATGGGGCCATGACGGGGGCGCTTATAACAGTATAAAAGCTCAGTTCCATATTTTCTGGGGGCCGGCTGGTCCACGATAATATCGGTGAATGAAGTTAACTCCACACATGCACTGCCAGGTACCTCGGGGATGTTATAAAAATCAACACTATACCTGTAGTCACCAGGAGGCTGCCTTAGCATGAAGACTTTGAAATTGGTCAGGACGGGGAAATTATCCCTGAGCTCCGCAAGGACCGCCGACCATCCAGGTGTCTCCAAATAACTAGACTGAAGACAAAGAGTCCGCAAGGTTGAACGATATTGTCGAAGAAATTGAATGCAAGGTTCCGGTGCCGGCCAACCTGCATTCTGCAGGATAATTTTTTCCAGAGGAGCACATCGATCAATAGAATCCCAAACCCGATTATCAAGACCTTGTTCTGATCCTGAATATGACACGAACTTCAAACTCTTTAAACTGGTGGCAGCTTGGATTATTTCACCTAACCAGTCCAGATTGACAGCTTGTTTATCGCATTCGAGCGAGAGGCTTTGAATATGGGACATCGAGGAAAGGAACCCTGGTTTCTCAAGATCCTCAATGCCCATATAGCTGTCATCCATCACAGGGCTCAACCTGTAGACAATGGCAAGGGAATTAAGTGGTAGGCCAGTCTCGGCAATGATATAGGTGAGAATTCTAATGGCTTCACAGGGTTCTATTCGGTCTTCGGTCGAGTATTGCTCGGTGTAATTGGTGAGTTCAAGTGACTGAAGGCTTACGAGAGATAATAAAATATCGCGTATCCTTTGAACTGCAGGCTGAGGGATCGCAAGATAGCCTTCGAGGT